GAGCAGAAAATAATTATTTCCTCTAAAAAGTTAGCAGGTCTTGGGCCAAGGATTTAGCTCAGTGGCACACGTGCCTGCCTGGCAAGTGTAAAATCGTGAGCTTAATCCCCAGTACCACGTCACAAAAGTTAGCAAGTCTCACAAAAACCAGACAGCAAGGGAGGATCCAATAGCCAGCTAAAGAAAATCGTTGAATGACTGATAGTTTTAAAAGTTCAGCCTCGTAGCCAAAACCAATGAATCATCCATGGTTAACTGGAACAGAATATAATTAATTAAGTTAGTTTTACTGGTTCAAGTTTAATTCCACTAACAAAATCATTGTGGATAGAGGTTATTACCATGAATTACTGCTAAAATAAAAACAGTAATGACTAAGGCTAAGAATTCAATTCACATTTAAGATGCTTCAGTGGAAAATTTAAAATATAAATACAGACAGAGAAAATAACGTAATTCCCAGGTACCCACCACCCAGCATCAACCGTTACCAACTGCATTCCCAACGCCAGCCAGCCGCGATACCGAGATTACCTTCACACGAATCTCGGCAATCATGTTTCACTTTTAAACACTTCAATTTGCATCTTCTCCTTTGATATGGGCTTCTTTAAAATGTAACCACAATATTAAAAAAAAAATTTAACCACAATTCTACTATCACACCTAAAAATAATTGTAAAAACGCTTAAGGTGATCAAATACACGATTTCCACATTTGCCAGCTGTCTTTTTTTTTTTTAATTTGTTCACAAGTCCATAAATTGTGTATGTGGAGTTGGAGATATAGCTCAGCCACACAATGCAAGCCTGGCAAGCATGAGGTCCTGAGTTTGATTCTGGGTACAAAAAAAAAAAAAATTGTGTATGTGTCTATTTCCATTTAACTCATTTTTCTGTTCTCTTCGCATCTTGGTGGCTGGACAGGCTCCTGCATCCCACCATTTTCCAGTCCGATGCCTCGTGGTATCCTCTCTCTTCTGGGCCTGCATTTCTAGTGACATCTGGGTAGATGTGGAAGTTTGACCACCATCCCATCTGACTGGCGGAAGGCACCCAATCTGTGCATGATCCTTGGGAGGCTGGCAGCGCTGGGCTAACTGCTGGATGTCTGGACCCACTCATCACTGGACGAAGGTGTTGCCCTGAAGCTTTATTCCAGGCTGGCTAGTTATGCTGTGTCTGTACCAGCATATCCCTCCCAGTAGGCGCTGTGAATTGGTCTCCAGCTCTTACAAAGATATTGTTCCTACAGATGCTGCGGTTACTCTGGGTGCATTCTGGAGTGATCCAATAGACCTCCAGAGTGGTACTTTTCTGGGTTCTCTTTACATATCGTCCCCTACACGGGAACTAACCATTTAGGATTAGTGGCCAGGATTTGATTGCTTTTATAGAAATAGTCTTTAAAGCTGGGTGAGGTGGCCCATGACTAAGGCTGAGGCAGGGGAATCCCTGCAAGTTCAAGGCCAGCCTGGGCTACACAGGCAGCTCAAGGCCAACCTGAACTGCCTAGTGAGACCTGTCTCAAAAACAAACAAATAAACAAATCCAAACAAACAAAAAGAACCCATTTAGAAACCATAGCTGGGGCACTAAATCTGAACTTCATTTAAGTTAATCCAAAGCTGACAAAGTAAATTAAGCAGAAGCCTTTCACTATTAGTTCTGGTGTATTTGTGTGGCGATGGAGACACATTTTTTAAGCCTGGGGTTCTCATTTTCTAAAATAGTATTCTAATACATTAGTGGTAAAAGATAGTATAATTTTATCAAAGACTTTTAAGAAACCTTCAACTCCAAAATTCTGCCTAGAAATTTTCATATTATTAGACTTCGGATTCCTACATAGAATTGTTTAAAATAATGAACCACTTAGAACCTAAATGTCCAAATAAAAGGGAAGTGGTCAATGTAAAAAATGTACACTATATTAACATATAACATCAATGTATCGTTAAATAGAAATGCTGGGTTACAAAAGTGTATATATTACACTTTTAGTCATATGCATAAGGGAATCTAAAAGACTGATTCTCGAATCCTAACAAGCTAAACTGTTCTGTGTCCCCACTGCCACTTAGGACCCGACCTCTGCGGGTCTAATGAGACAGACAGGACTCCTCCCGCTTCCCGTTCCCAAAACTTTTGTTTTCGTCATCCTGTCTTTGACTCACCTTGTCGCTGTAGGGTGATCCGTTATTTTAGTTAGGACTTCAGGGAAGAGCAGAAGCTACTAAATATTTTACTCAACCCTCTAATTTCACCTGGCATCCTGTTGCTTTTTGTGGGAAAGAAGAGACACTGTGAAAAGCTTATCAATTATACAATGCACCAATTTCTATGAATTTGTAAGTATAAATGCATACATAAGACACAATAACAACAAAGCACTGTAGAACAAAAGGGCTTAATATGCATCCTAATAATATAAAGAACTGGATCCAGAAACAATAACCAAAAAAATGAAACTGGCTATGAATGGGAAAAGTGATCAAACGGAAGCTGGGGCTGGGTAGGGGCTGGTTGGGTGGTTAGGTAGGTGGGTAATTGGGTGGTTGAAACACAGTCTTGCTATGTTACCCAGGCTGGTCTCCACCTCTTGGTCTCAAGAGATCCTGCCACCTCAGCCTCCTGAATAGCTAGGATTAGGAGTGAGCCACTGCATCGCCTTGGGGAGGACCACCTGGAGGACTCTCCTTGAAAGAAGAGCAATTATCTCCATGTTAGCTAAACCTGGCCCTATTTCCATTATTGATCTGTACAGAGCTGGCTAGAACTTTTCCTTGTCCCTTCAACTGGCTTTAAGCAATGCAAATTTATCTGGCTTAGGTGCTGATATGCAGCCTTCAAAGGGAGGTGACAGGCAGTGTTTCCCTACCCCCGTAGCTCCCCCTCGAAAAGCCAGGCAGGAGGGAGAGCCAGGCTCCGTGCTGTGGGCTGGGATGGAGCCTCACGGGAAGAGGCTCTGCCTTCCCAGGGCAGAAGAGATTACAACAGCAGAGTTGAAGCTGTGACCCCAAAATATTAGAAGCTACCTCACTGTGTCCTGCAGATTACTCTTGTACACCCCTTTCTCCGCACATCATAGAGATGGTCTCAGGCTTCCCATCCAGCCCAGCTCAAGTGCTGGCTCGTGTGCTTCCTGCCATTCTCACAGCCACTTGGCCCTGAGCCATTCCCCTTGCTGAGAATTAATAAAACCTGAGTTCGGCCCTGGGTCGGGGCCTCTGTTCCCGTGAACCCTCATCTGGGCTGGATGCAGGACCCCTCGGCCTGCCATGTGTCTTAGTGTCTTTTTTCTCACCATGGGCTGCACTGGAGGTAGTAGATTGGGATTCACTCACCAAGATTCTGTTATCTTTTCCATGGGATTGCAAATATAAACTTCCCAGACTAAGACAGGGACCAGATGGGCTCTCCATACCCCATGGTTTAGAAATTGTTTCTAATCAAGAATATAAATTGCTGAAAACAAAGCCATACTGTGGAGTAATCTTTCAGTTTCTCAAAAAAATTTTTTTCTCTAAAATTTCTTGCAACTTTAGTGATTTCTCCAAGTCTGACCTGCCCCTGGCAGCAGCTGTAAACTGCAATCCACCTTGCTGCCCCGTTGCCGGGGACATTGACCCTTTACAGACTGACACTGACCATCTTGCTGATAGCTCTGAGCACAGCCTCCCCAGGTGACACTGCACTCGCTACACCGATGCCCTGACACCCTCGATCAGAAACACTGAACGAGAAATTAAAGGCCTTCTCAAGCACTAGCACCCATAGCAGCACAGGAGCCAAGGACACCCATCCCAACTCTGGAGAAAGAACAATCACTGGGTCTTAAACATCTACCGACCACCGCAAGAGACAGCCTGAGGGCGGCTGGCTCCACTTGGCCGTGTCTTTTTCAGTCTGTGACTATGACAAAAACTAAGTACCCAGAGCGCAGAGGTGCTGCAGACGACTCAAAAACAAGACTGAACAATCAAGGCTCTCTTGTTACACAAGTTCTGCATGACATCGCCTGACACTATGGAGAACACTGAATCCAGAAACTGCTGTGTTAATTTTGCAGTACTGAGCATTAAACCCAGGGCCTCAAACCAAGCTACCCTCCCAGGTTCTTCTATTTTTTTTTGAAACATACTAAGCTGCCCAGGTGGGATCAGAACTTGCAACCCTCTTGCCTCAACTTGCCGGAGGGCTGGTATTCTGAGCATAAGCCACCATGCCCAGCTCCACACCCAGTGATCTAACTGTACTTGAATTTTGGAAAGTGCCAACAAGTAAAATTTTAAACAGAATTGAAGCAATTATAAATAACAAATTTGTATCTGAATTAACAAATAATGATGGTTTCATGGATAATTAAGCATATTTTGATGGGCCTAGACTAACAAAATCTAGTAACTCTACTCTAGACATACTGCATATTTACTTAACAGCTAACGCTTATTTAAAATAGTTTTAATTTTAAAAAAGAAAGCGAATCCAAGGAGAAGACTACATGCAGAGAAGTATTCTGGGCTCACAATTCCTTTTCTAGGTAACATGACAATGTCAATTCTCTACTTTCGATGAATCTGACAAAAGAGGAAAACATTGGGTCAAAATTTTAAAATAGGCTTATCATTAAACTAGAACTTCAAAACAACAGGGTGCTTCATATCCAAACCTTTGAAAAACACATATTAATAAAACTGCAAGTTTCCAATATGATTCAGCACTTCCTTTAAGACAAGCAGTAAGTATTAATTACAAGCAGTAAGAAGCAGTGGAGATTAACTGAGTGTTTTAAAAATCTTCACTGTGTGTAAGTACAAATATAACTAACTGGAAATTTTCTTCACGGCCTCCAAATTAAAATAAAAACCACTACACTTGTGTAGTAAGAGATGCTCCTCTGTCTGCTTCGGTCTCTTTCATTTAGGAGAGAAAAGCTGCCTTGTGGGAAAAGCTCCTTTTGATGGTTTTCAGAATTCAAAGAACATAGACCTTCGAACTGATTTCAAGTCTATTTATTAATGCATTTCAAGTTTCAAAAAACCTTACATCTTTGCACAATACTTTATTTTTTGCAATTTTTAGTAAAAATTTCCAAAGTGAACAAAAGATACTGTATAAAACACAGTGGACATTAAACTGACAGTAGTATTAGATCTCATTTGTCTTGGTCTTTTCATTTTTACCACATCTTGATTTGCAGTGGAAAGAGTTCAGTGCACGCATCTTTTCAGAAAACATTTAACTTAAGACTCAAAATAAAATAAGGCAGTGTATACCTGCCAAAACCCTACAACAGGATAACGTTACGAGCAAAAAATGTACATGTTCCGAAGTCTACCACGCTCAAGAAGTTACTAAGAACTCTTGCAGAGTAAAAGTCACCATTGTAGAAAGGCAAACCCACTTCCAACCTTTGCACAGTCCAAAAACAAAGGCATTGAAATGATTTAAAAGCAATTTCTTACATTTCTATCTACTTGTTTGTTTAGAATTATTTATAGTCTATCTGGGGATTCATGTACAAAATTTGTCTCTAAATCATGTACAAAAAGCTGTATTTTGAAAAAGTCACCACATACTGTACAAGTTTACAAGGAAGAGATCCCATTATTTTCTCTAGCATTTTTGGCCTTGCTGGCTTGCGTCACATTATGAGAATGATTGTGTAAACCTTATACTCTTAAGAAAAAAGGAAAATATCCAAAACACAGAAATCATTTCAACTTCCTCTAAATTTGCCTCTTATACGAAGCCAGGAAAATCATAGCTGTTTACTTCTAATTTAAGTAATGTAGCTGGAAAACAGAAGCAATAAATATGTCACAAGCTTAAACTGTTTTGTAATGCCCCCTTCCATTTCCTGCATAGCAATAAGCCTGTTAATATTTTGCTTTCTCTTTCTTTAAAAAAGCCAATTATTTACATCTGCTTAAAAAATAAACTTGGAATGGGACATTGTGCTGTTTCACCTTCACTGTGGTTAAAATATTTAAGGGCAAATAATGTCAGATGCCTATCTACAACCTAACTACTGGTGGAGCAGGTCACTCATTCTTAGTGGTTACCGATGATCAGTGAGGATTTGGGGGAAAACTGCTCAAATCTCTGATAACAACACAGCATTTCTTTTCCACAACAGACAGAAACAAAATTAGCATATTTTAGATATATGGAAAACACAAATAAGTGAGCTACAAATAAAAAGAATCACCTCATTGACATAATTCCTACCAAAACATGAATAAAATGTCACCTATCGATTCAAAAAGTGGAACTGGATCAGAAAGCTGAAACTATGAAGCAGAAACCCGACATTTCCGCAGAGCCCCTGTGCCCCTGGGCGCGGCCCCTCACGCACACAGCAGACACTGGACAGAGGGAGATGACCTAAGAGCCAACTGTCCTTAGGAAAAGGAACATTGCTTCTCACTCCGGAACTGCCTGTGTAAAGCGTTACAGAAACCTGGACCACTGACCACCACCATCCTTGGTTATCCTGAGTATGTCAATTAAACAGCAATTTTTCATTAAGAGCGGAGAAATTTTATAATACAAAGACACATCTGTATTGCGATTTCTGTTTACCATCGCACACAGGAACACGGTGCTGTGGGAAACGCAGTCTGCACGGAACACGGCACGCACGCTGGCAGGAGACGTCTCTGGTGCTGGGGTGGCCGAGCCTCCGCGCCCTGACTGGCAGTTGAAAAAAATATATAGATTTCAATTTAGACAAAAGTTTATCCAGAGTCACATCGGACCGCAAGTGAAGAAAACGCAGCAACAAAGAACAGGGAGCAGAGCACACAGCGGGGTTCCAGGACTCTGTGCCGTCAGGTTAAAAAACATCTGTCCCTAAGAAAACCCAGCCCTCCCCAGCCCACCCCAAGCTGGACTTCTCGGGCTGTCTAGGGCCCGCCAGGCCGCCTGGTCTGAGGACACGCTCTCCGGCCACCTTTGTCTTCAACTGTGGTCTGTGAAGGTCTAATCTGGAGCTGATGACGGAACAGGTTTCTCTTTGGAGTGAAGTTTCCCGCGGTAGGCACTAGGAAGAACCAAGGCAAAGCTGCGCTAGCGTCTCAGGTGCCCCATCTGGTAGCTCTCCCGGGGCCGCTGGCGCTGTGGCTGCTGCATGGGCTGGGGCGGCCTCCTCCGCTTTAAAGTGCCTGCCAGGGAAAGAGAAGCCGCCAGTTACGCACCCTCCCCACTGTTGGTGGTCCCAGAGAGCTGGCTCGAGGCCTCCACACCAAGCTGGCCACCCCTCCAGCCACTGTTCACCTGTGTTTTGAGACAGGGACTTACTAACCTGCCACAGTGCCTAGTCTGCACTCATTTTTGCAGTCCTCCTGCCTTGGCCTCCCAGAGGCCTGGAACTATAGACAAGGGCCACCACGCCCCATCCACTGTGAACTTTGCCATCTTTAAAAGCAAAGCTGCTCTTTTACCAAGAAAGATTACAGATCAGCAATGTCCAAAATGGACATATACCTCAAGACTTTCTGATAACTGCTGGGTGTAATGATGCCTGCCTGCAATCCCAGCATTCAGGAGGCTGAGGCAGGAGGAACACCATGAGTTTGGAGACTAGCCTGAACTACATAGTGAGAGTCTGTGTCAAAAAAATAATTCTGGTAACCATAAAAAACATAAAAACAGTTAAAATAATTTTTATATTTATTTCATTTAACGCAATATAGTCCAAATATTACCAATGTCAACATGGGCTCAATATTAAAATTAACACTGAAATCTATTTTTCTTTTTTTTTTTTTTTTTGTACCGGAGATCAAACTCACAACCGCATGCTTACAAGGCAGGCGCTTATGCCACTGAGCTAAATCCCCGGGCCCAAATTTTTCATTATTATAGTGAATTTTCAAAGCTTGGTACACAGTCATAGTACGCATGGCAGCCACACCAGGGACAGAGAAACCTAGATGAGCATCAGAGACTCCAAAGTCCGCCATGGGGAGACCTTGTTCCGAGCCAAATCACTGCCACAGAGAGACTGAATTCCCAGGAAGGCTTAGCTCTTCCCTCAAGGCTCCGCACAGGATTGCTAGTTTTAAAGGTACTTAAAATTGAAATCAAGGGGCCAGGGATTTAGCTCAGTGAGTGGCATAAGCACCCACCTGGCAAGCGCTAGATCATGAGTTCGATCCCCAGTACCAAAAACAAAACAAATCAATACACACGTAAATATTTGTTTCACTAATGTGGGAGACCAAACTCAGTCAAGGTATCAAAAAAGTACACTGTGACACTCGGAAATCTCTTTAAGTCACGTTAAGTTCCAGAACGCTAACACTGTGGATTTAAGAAAAGCAGCATCAAAACCTGATTTCCTATGACTGTATGAAACACTGCCTGGCGCAGCATCCGGTCCTCCTTCCTCCCCGGGGGAACAGGCAGAGACAAGGGTGGGACTCGAGGAGCTGCAGGAAGGCCCTGAGAAGCAGAAGGCCCCTCTCATGACTGCGAGGGACAGGCATCCAGAGGGCAGCACAAGGCCATGCTATCTTTGAGGCAGGAGAACAAAACAGATGAGGCCTAAATAATCCTGAGCAGCTGTTTCCTCCCCTGCACTCCTCCAAGGGCCAAAGCAAAACCAGAGAGGACCTTGGCCTAAAGCCGCACCTTCCAGAGGGTAGATGGGAAGACACGCTGAGCAGCTGCTTGCAGTTGGGGCAGAGACCCCAGCAGCTCGGGCAGACCAGGGTCCACATCCTCCAGGGCAGCCTGGGGAAGTAGCCGCCCGATCCCCGTCCCCGTCCCTGTGCCCACCAGCAAGAGCTTCAAGAGCATGAATGCTAGAAAGAGTAGATGAAGCACAACCATTAAATACAAAAACCCATCACTGAGGAGCAGCTCAACTACCAAAATAAAAACAAGGAAGGCGAGATTATGAAACAAAAGCAAAAAAACCAAGCAGAAACTAAAGCGTCCAGTTCCAAGTCTTTCTGGACACTCAAGACTAGCACCAACCCAGTGTCATTTGCTGGAGCTGACTGACAGAAAGCACTAAATCTCAGCCACATCCCTGGTGCTGGTAATCCCGGGACATAGGACCATGTGCCATAGCACCCCCGGAAAATCCCAGCTGCCAGGGCCGGGGAGCACACGCTGTGCCTGGCTTCCTTACCTGGGAGTGGTTTGGGAGGAGGCAGCTTTGGGTTGCTGCTGGGCGTGTGGACGCTGCACACCTTGATGAAGCCGGCCATCAGCATGATTAGCGCGATGCCCATGAGCAGCACGGCCCACCAGTGCGCCTGCGGACAGACAGACAGAGCCCTGCTGAGTGGCTCAGGAAACAGGCTGCGCATATATATTCTTCTCTTAACTATCAAAAAGTGACCCATTCATCCTTCCCATAATGTTTGTCACCCACACATCATAAACACCTGTGCAACAGGGCCACCTGCACACGGTCCACTCGGTACTTTCTGGCTGACATATTTCCTTGGTGTTTTATTTCTCATGCTTACTGAGTGTATTTTGTTTTTATGTTCCCTGTGGCTTAGAAGGTATGTCACTTGCTTAAAATTCTACTAGTGGACAGACTGTGAAAATATTCTTTAACCTGTATTATTTTCTTATTATCAAAGTTAAGACTGGGACTCCCACTTTCCCTGGTTTTGGGGACAGCCTTGCTGCATAGCTCAGGCTAGCCTTGCACTCACTACTGCATGTAGTTTACGGGTTACAAGTGTGCACCACCACGCTGGAAGGACCCTCTTTTTAGAGCCTCCTTTCCTTCGCTGTTTTGTCTATTTTGCAGGGGAGAAGGGTGGCTGGGAGTGCAAACCAGATTCTTGCACCCAGGAGGTATGTGTTGTACTGCTGAGCAACACCTCTGGCTCCTGTCTTCACCTGCATCACCAGGAATCGAGCCCCGACTACTGCTAGGAAATTATTCTTACACGTCTCAACTCCTTATTTTTCTTATATATTTTTCTTTTCTCTTATTAATTCATTTATAGGTTAAATGCCTTTTAATAAAAAAATGGAACCATATAAACAATGAAGTTGACCCAGTCTAAGGAGGAAGCAAAAATTTCACTTAATCCATATCAAAACAATCAACTGGCCAAACAAAAAAAAAAATTTTTAAATTACTGTTAGTATATTCTCATTAATAGGAAAATGATGACTTCCATTCTTAATAAATTCCACTATGCAACTGCAAATATTCAAAGCATTTTAAAATAGCATGTACTAATAAACACTTTTTAACCAAAACATTTATAGCTTTAAAACTGAATTTTCACGTTGGCTTAATATAGATTGTTACAACACATACACAGTTACTGCTAATTATTTCTGGCAAAACTTTCATTGAAAAAAATTGTCTATGATTTGGAGTCTAAAAACAATCAGTTACTGCCCCGTCTATACTGTTTACCCAGCAACAATGATGCAAACATTAAATGCCTGTGGTGAAGCCCCAGAGCCATGCACCTGTGTCTAAACCCCTCTCTGCAGGTGCAGTGCGCCAGCTCCTGAGGGCCTGGCGAGGCCTCACCCTGAACAGTGGACCCACAGTGACCCAGCACTGTCACCACTCAGCCCTCCACACCCCACAAACTCTGCCCTCTGTTCCATTCTGTGGGCCTCAGAGCCGCCACACCACAGGCTGCGCGAGCTGCTGCTCCAGGCAACCTCTGACCCTGAGGAAGCCTGCAGGGCAGTCATCCAGAAGGGGAGTCTCCCTATTACAGGAACATGACCAGTTCTCCTCCCTGCATCCTATCGGGCAACCCGAGTCTCGTTCATCTCTGATTAAGATGTTATCTGCCAAACTTCGTCAGACATTCCTTTCTTCTTCGGTCATCAATGAGTACTTCACAGAGACGTGAACTTGAAACCATGTAAATATCCTGTTCTTCATCAAACACCTTAGTTATCTGCGTACATACACACATATGCCTGCTGTACACGGTGGGCAAAGGCATCGTGTTGTTGGACGCATCCCCTTACTTCCTGGAGCACCCCCACACACTCAAATCTCAGGGGTACCCTGCTCCACCTGTAGCCCATCCCTGGACCCATTTCCCCCTGAGCCCCAGGTCCTCTCGGTCCAACCCTGCCCCCACTGTGCAGACCCTCCCTGCTGGGTCCACACCCCGCACCTCCCAGCCTCCTAGCCTTCCTCTCTGCACTCTGCTCCCCTCTCTGCTGTACGGCACTGGGCACTGGACATGGGTCTGGGCAGGCTTTCTGGCCAGATACTCCAGCACTTCAGTGCACCCACACAGGCTTCTTGGATGTGGCAGAAAGTTGCATCGCAGTGCCATCTCCCCTCTCCACTTCCTGGCCACCACCCTGTGAGCAGATGGCCTCTGCCCAGGCCCTTCTCTACCACACTGCGACTACCCCCGACACTTTCAAGCCATCCTGTGGGCACCATCTCGGCCCAAAGAAAGTGAGAGACATCACTCTGCTTTGCCTCGTCTAACACCTTCAGGGCAAAGGCTGGAGAACAGGCAAGGAGTAGAGAAGGGAAGAAGAAACATAGGCATGGTTTCCCCTCCACTGAGGCTCCTCCAAAGCTTCACACAATCCTCAGACTGGCGCTGTGTTTGGGTGAGACCCACGGCCATCCTTCTCTTTATTTTGATTCTGCAACCCAGGATCAGGGCCTCGTGTCCGTCCCCTTCCTGCCCAGAACCACAGGGACTACACACGGGCGGTGACAAGGCCTCGCTGCTCAGGCCCGGACTGAGAAAGAAGCCACGAAGCTCAGTGTTCATGTGCAATCCATTTTCACTGCTGCTAACTCACTCAGTGGACAAGGTGTTGACATGAACATGTCAAGTGGACATGAACAGGGCTGGCCTTCAACTGCAAATACCAGGCTCACAAACTGTTTTTTAAAAGTCACTTCCTGCCTCCTACCAAGACAGCTACAGACCAGAGCAGGTGGCAGAGAACAGCACAGAAGGCCCTGGGCAGTGCAGGGCATGCAGCCCCCAGCCCCTCTCCAATGCCTCAGCTATTCTGTTAACTTCTGGAAGCTCCCAAACTTACACTGGGAAGGCAGCATCACAGGTCACACGGTCCAGTCCCCACAGGCTCTCAGGCAATAGCCAGTGCTGGGACAGGAGAGGCCAGGGTCACTGTGCAATGCTGTCCTCCCTTCCCGGTGCACAGCCATCCTTCTGATGGCCAACTGTGCCACAAGGATTTGGAGCACAGAGCAGGCCAGGCCACCCCTGTACTAGAACTCGTCCTTGAACTCTTCCACCAGAGTGGTCCAAAATCCAACAGCAAGTAAGAAATAAAAGCAAACTCAATCACATGACACAGTGCAGTCGGGTACGTGTGATGGGATGCCCCTCACGCTCCTCTTCTGCGTCCACTCGCCCAGTGGCACAGTCAGTCTCCGAAGTGTCCACAGTGGCTTCACACAGGGAAGACTGCCACAGGAGTGCAAAGAGGGCTCACTTCCCAACACACTAGGTTAGAACAATCAACTTTTCCAAAGAAAACAGCAAGCGTGTCTTTCTGGTTTGTCAATCTCAAGCCCCTCTACCTCATCATCTCTACCCAATACCCCTGGACTCCACTTTCCGGCCTCCCTGTCCAGGAGGGCAGAACGCAAGCCCTGCCTGTGTACACCCCATGTCCACCCTGGTACCTCATCAAAGCAACTACACAGCACCAGCTGGCTCTCCTGCTGTCCATGAAAACAGCACCCCAAACTGAAAATATGTTTCCCTGTGCCTGCGTTTCCATCTGAAATGGGACTGTAAATTCCCCGCCTGTGTCCCTCCATCCTAGCCCAGCACACACACAGGACAAAGCAAAACAAAGCTGTGAAACCAGTTATCATGGGTGAGTCATGTTTCCAAACAGTGACCTCAACTAGCTAATGGCCCATTTATTATTTCTAGTTTGCCTACCCTAGACAAATAATGTGACCCAGATCTTACAAAAGAGTCTATAAAAACTGCTTCTGTTACCGCAGTTGCTAGTTTTTCAGTACCCACACGGCAAAAATAGAGAACAGTGTAAGCAGCATGGCAGTGAGAGAAAAAGGATAAAGAAACAGCTCAGACTGAACTGTGGCTGAAACCTTGTTAAAAATGAAGATCAAAAGGATCTAGTCTCGGCCCAGTGTGGACCTGGGCAATTTAGCAAGACTTGGTCAAAATAGTATTTTTTAAAAGGCTGGGGATATAGTTCATGGGACAACATTTATTTGCCTAGCACAGGCAAGGTCCTTGGTTTGAGCCCCAGTACTGAGGGCGTGGGGTTGTCCGAGTCCAGATCAACATTTACTAATATATGGCATTAAAGCACTCAAAAGCTTTCAGGACCTGGTCTTCCTCAAATTTTTCTGGGTACCTACATATGTCAGAAGCCCCAAACTTGCAGTATTTTAGCGGCAATGGCAGTAATCTTTCAAGAATTTAGTGTCTCGGGAATGGAACATGGATAGATAACAGCAAGAAAAATTAACACAATGGTGTAAGTACGGTCAACTGTGAGTTAGTTTTTAATACTGTTCTCTTTAAAAAGAACTAGCAGCATGAGCTAAATGTTTTGTCTTTTACATACTATAACATGAAGGCTACACTCCACTAATCTAATGAATACGAGTACGTGTTATCTCCTAAAAGGCCACAAGCAGGCGAGCAGGTGTGCTGATACTCATCTGTGACCCTGACATATCCGGGAGGCTGAGGGAGGAGGATTGTGATTTGAGGCCTAGCTTGGGCAATTTAGCAAATTAGCAAGACCCACTCTCAACATAAAAGAAAAAAAGAGAAATCACAACTTGTCTACCTGTTGGTCTCAAACAAAGGAGAATTGTCACTCTACGGGTAAATGTTTAACGAATGTCATCCGTGTGCTAGGCTCCTCCCTGTCCCAGAGACCAGGGTATTAAGGGACACCAGAGATACAGGGGCAGGGGCACAGAAAGCTTTCTTTCTACCCATCCCTCCCCCCTCACTAAAGCACTCCAATCTGGACTTGGCCGAGACCCGCTGCTCCTGGCCTCCAACCCCCGTACCACGAGTGGTCTGTGCAGCGGGAAGCAGCTGCCTACTTGCAGCGAGGGCTGAGCAACTGGTACACAGCACTGTTGGAGGGGAAGAGGCAGACGCTGAGGCTTCGCAGTTGACATGCATAATTTTTATTCTTTTCTGTATAAACTGTGGCACGAAAGGAGTCTGCTCCCTCCATCTAGCAAGTATGTGCCACGCCTTCCCACAGGGAGGGCCACAACGATGCATCTCTGATGTGCTTCCAGAAGTACTAGGTG